AGGGGAGGGGAGGGGAGGGGAGGGGAGGGGAGGGGAGAGAGAAACATCGATGTGAGAGAGACACATCAATTGGTTGCCTCCAACACCCGTCCCCCAGGTACATGTCCTTGACTGGGATTTGAACCCCTGACCCTTCAGTGTGTGGCCGACATTCTAACCACTGAGTCAAACTGGCCAGGGCTCTATAGACCCTTATAGTAATAATTTCCGTGTTGTTTGTAGATTTATCACCAAATGTGTACTGTTCATTTCCTAAAATTTAATATATCTTTTAAGTCTCTTTATTTTTATTGATTTTAGAGAGAGGAAGAGAGAGAGAGGAGAGGGGAGGAGAAACATTGGTTGGTTGCCTCCTGCACACATTCCTACTGGGGACTGAACCTGCAACCTGGGTATGTGCCTTGACAGGGAAATGAACCGGTGTACGGGATGACCACCAGCTAAGCCACACCAACCAGGATTTAAGTCTCTTTTAATCTACAAGTTTTCCCTCCACCTCTTTCTTTTCCTTACAGTTATTCTGTTGAAGAACCCAAGCCTTTAGACTGGAGTTTCCCAAAGTCTGAATTTTAATGACTGCACACTTATGTTTCCACTCAGCATGCTTCTTCATTCTCTGAATTTATTGAGAATTGGCAGCTGGATCCAGAGGCTTGGTTGGACTTTGGTTCAGCCTCTTGCAATACAGTCGGTAGTGTTGGGTTCTTTCATCAGGAACCACATGTCTGGCTTTCTCTGTTTTTATATTAGCAGTTGTTGGGCGCAATGCCCAGATTCATTAATTTATTGGTGGCTACAAAATAGTGACATTTTAATTCTATTGTTTGTTTTTAATTTATTAATTGGAATACTTTTATTACAAGATACTTTTTATCTACTATTAATTATCTATAGGTATAGTTCATGTAGAAATATAGAATAAATGCTTGATTTTTGCCTTGGTTTTTCACTTTACAAGATAATAGATTGGTAACCAACTGATATTTTATGAACTCATGGATTCAAACATATTTGATGGGTTTGAATCAATGGAAATATTTTTATGACACTCAAATTATTCTATCTTTGGCCAGTGGAGCCTTTTCCATAGGCTCCTGAATGACTTAATCCACTCATGGTCATCTTGTGGCATCTTTACTCTGTGGTATGTGCAACTATTTCAGGCTCATCTTCTACATTTCTTACCCCATATCTGCAGCCAGTGTTTCTCCAAGAAGCCCTGGATGGTAATATACACATTAGGAATTCTCATTGCTATGAGTTGGTCACTCTTTCTAACACTTAGAAATACATATATACATTATATATATATATATATATATATATATATATATAAAACATATATACCTTTAACTTAACCTTTTCTATATTACATCTGTATCTCCTTTCCTCCAAACCAAAAAGCCTGGTTCTCAAGGATACGGGGGATTATGAATTAGAATATTCTCATTATTAATTACTCATTTGTTTTATCCCATATTACCCTATAGTCTCAAAATAGAAATATTAATTTTATCATTACCAATATGATTACTGAGAAGTTACATAAATTGTGCATATGCTATCCCATTCCCCTCTCACTTTTTTTAGAAAAAAGGTTGACAAACGTTCTCATTTTTTAGTGTTTTAATTAAACTGTATAATTCAGTGGTTTTTAGTATATTGAAGAAGTTATATATGCTGTATACCTGAAACTAATACAAAATAATATTGAATGTAAACAGTAATCGAAAAATAAAATAAGTTGTACAATCCATTATCTAATTCCAGAATATTTCCATCACCCCTAAAAGAAACTCTGTACCTTCCATTACCCCATCCCCTGTCCCCTGACAACCACAAATGTACTTTCTGTCTCTATGGATTTGCCTGTTCTGGACATTTCATATAACTGGAATCATATAATATGTGGCCTTTTGTGTCTGGTTTCTTTCACTTAGCATGATGTTCTCAGGCTCATCTGTGTTACAGCATATGAAACAAGTTATTTTTTAAGTAAAAAAAAAAAATCAAATTTTTATTATTTTTTTTAAATAAAAAAATAAATAATGATTGGGCATCAAATTTCTTATCCCTTATACAATAAAGAAGCCTGCTCCAGCTAACTTTGTGTGTTTCCTGCAGGGCCTGAAAGCCTTGGTGAGTATGAGCTATCTACCCCTGCCAGAAAGCACGGTGCATGAAGGGCACCTGCTGGCCACTGCACACTGCTTCTGGAGGACAGCTTGGCTGGGGCTCATGTCCCAAGATGCATCTCTCCTTAATCTCTCAAACCAGACTAGCTCCTGGCTATGTGGGTCCAGCCTCTGCCAATACTTGGTACCACTCTCTGCCATCCCAGATGAACAGGGGCTTTCAGCGTTGAAATCTGGGCCACAGTCTGCTTATGCAGCCCCACAATCAAAGGCCTTGTTCTCCATCTGTGACTAGCCTTGAGTTCTAACGGCTGCAGGGCCTGAGCCAGATATGACTAGTGAGGAACAGATGACAACTTTTGAGCTGAGATTCTCTCTCTCTACACTGACCAGAGCCTACCCTACTGGACGCAAGTGAGACCATCTTCAAGGAAGGCTATGCACAGATGTCCCCAAGACCCAGTAACATTTCCCCCCACCCCCTACTCCCAGGCTCTGGACCTCATCCTCCCATATGCATCTGCCTGGTCACAATAAGTAGGATAATGTTTTTATGACTCAGCAATTTGGGAGGCTCCCGAAGGCAGGGGCTGTGTTTTCTCATTTTATACCCCCCAGGGCCTGGTCCAGAGAATGCTGTTAATCAATGAGTGTTCCGTTAGAGAGAGTGGAAGACAGTGTGCCCAACCAGACTGTAAGCTGCCGGAGAGCAGTGGCTTCCGTCCTTCCTTCCCCTCCTACAGTAAAACTAGACACAAGATTGGGAACAGGATGGGAATGTAAATGAGTAATGGCTTCATTCAAGATTCAAAAATCTCCACCTGGATAATATCTTTATTAGCTCAGGAAGATGTTTCCTACACATGTCTGGATACGTGGGTATGAATTTTGTCTATCACATTTAATAAGCTGTTCTTAAGCACTTAGATATAATAAATGCAAACAAGCAAGTACAATGCAGGCTAAAATGAAAAGTTCTTTGCATACAAAAATTTTAAAAAGACATCTTGATACAGGGCATAGAGAAATAGATGGTGATTGAATTACCACCCCGTCACTCCCAACCTGATCCTGGTACCTAAATATAGGACTGTCTCAGCTCTCTGTTCTTATAAGACACAAGTCCCCAGCTCCTCCTGGACAGGAACAGAGGCCTCGTAAGGCCAGGAGGAGCACTGTTCCTATCTGCAGAAAGGAAGGCAATCCCCCCCCAGGCACAGTGTCCCAGACCCACGTGGTCAGACTCCTCAGCCTCGTTCAAGTGGGGAGACCACCTCTGTGCCTGCTGCTTCCCTTCACTTTTGATGGCTCCCAATTGTCAGTGAGATCAGACAGGCCTGGTGTGGCTTGTTCTAAATGTTTCTCAAGCCTGTCAGCCCTCAAAGAAAGCCAGCTAACTGCTGGTCCTGGGAGCTTCCAGAGTTCCTCAGAGGTTTCCAGAGGACTGAGAACCTCCTAACCCTACTAGACCTCCTAGCTCAAGCACTATATCAGAAGGCTCCATCAGTTCCTGAGTGGCCCCTATAGTGTCCACTGTCAGTAAACAGAAGGGAAAGTCCAGGGTGGGGTGCAGACATGATCTTTCAGGCTTGCCTGCAGCAGACAGCAAAATATCAGCCAGTGCAATATATGTGGGTTTCAAGCCAAAGCTTAGAAGTCACTGGGTCAGCCTCCTGCCCTGTCTGGGCAGCTGGGCCAGGGAGACAGATATGGGTCTTACTTCAGTCCATGTACTTGACCAGGGCTGGTGGGAGGGACATGGTATGGGAGGTAGGGGGATCTCATTGTGGCACTGGGCTTGGCTGAGCTTCCTCCATCCCCACTACCACCAGAGACACAAGTCTGAGTGGCTTTTACAGGTACATGGCTCTGCAGGGGTCTCAGCCCCCTAAAAGCGAACCTGTACCTGGAAGTGCTCACAGCGGGCATACTTCATGGTCAGCCCATAGATGGGGGTCATGTCCACCTTCACACCTGGTAGCATGCTGAATTCTACCTGCTGCAGCAGGATGGCCAGGAAGAGAAAGACCTCAAAGCGGGCAATGGTCTCACCGATGCACTTCCGCTTGCCTAGGCCAAAAAGAATCACCTGCTCACTCAGTGCCTTGTTGATAGTGCCATTGGGGGTGAGAAACCGTTCTGGCCGGAACTCAGATGGGTCATCCCACAGTTTCCTGTAATCAGAGAGAGGCAGCTAAAGTGGCAGCCTGGAGGCTCAGAAGCATCTAGTGGGTTGCACCCTAGCCCAAAAGAGTAGAGGATAGGCAGGTAGTCAGGGACAGCAGGGTCTGAAACTTGGAAGAAGGTGAAGTTTCTGCTGCCCCATCTCAACTTACTGGTCGTGGTTGATCTGCCACTGGTTCACAAAGACACAACGCCCCTTGGGAATGTAAAAGCCACTCAGATTTGTGTCTCTGGTGGTACTGGGGAGGGAAGAAGCTCAGTCAAGCTCAAGGCCACAATATCACCCTACCTCCCATACCATGTCCCTGTCACCAGCCCTGATCAGATGCATGAACTGAAGTAAGGCCCAGTATCAGACAACAGTAGATCCATGGGGCCTCACCTGTGGGGGACAGTGAAGGGGACAAAGGAGGAGTGTCGGAAGGTCTCCAGGATGAAGGCCTCCATATAGGGCAGCTGGGATCTGTCAGAGAGCCGGGGCCGCCGTGCCCTCCCAATCACTGTGTCTGCAGGGCACAAAGGACCAGACAGATGAAGGGGCCTCCCAGACCTTGGCCGGGTCCCCTGCCTTGAGCACTTTGAAGGAGGCCACCACCTACCAAGCTCCTCCTGGATTTTTTTCTGCACACTGGGGCTCGTCACCAGGTACAAGAGGCTCCAAGAGATGGCTGTTGTGACTGTGTCAAATCCTAGCCAGGAAAGAACAGAGGGAGAAGTTAGGCGGTTGGTGTCCAGGGCAGCTGGGCACAATAAAGGCAAACGGGTAGCTCATACCAGCTCCAAAGAGGTCCATGACGACATTAACAATCTTCTCGTCTGACAACTGGATATTGGCGTTCTCATCCAGCTTCTTGTCCTGACAGTGCTCGATCAGGCTGTCTGTGATGTCCCGGATGTGGCCCTGAGTAGAGAAGGCCCACAGGTGAGCAAGATCCCAAACCCAGACCTACCTCTCCATCCAGACCTGGCCCCTTACCATCCAAAGTATCTTTGTTCAAGAGGTGACACCCCCACTCCCACCCCACCCAAAGCTGTCATCCCAGCTTCTCTCTGCCTGTCCAAGGCTCTCTCCTGCCCCAACTCAAGGGACATCTGACAAACAGAGTCAGAAGACTAATTTTTTAAATTCTTCCTAACTGGCCTAGGTTACAGCATGGACTGGCTATTCGTTAAATACTGCTGTCTGACAGAAGGATAAAAGGGCTGGTCAAGAAAAAGTTCTATTTCCCTGCCATGGCTGGAGTCCCATCTATTACTGACTTCAAAATCCAAGGGTGAAGGCCCCTAAGAGTCTGCCAAACCCAGTGCTGCTCCAGTTATCACTGACCTCCTGACCCCTGACCCTGCCAGCTCCTCACCACCCACCTGCCTCTCCCCAGCTTGTACCTTCTCAAACATTTTATAGTGTTCCTTAACCTTCTTTTGCATGAAGGTGTAGAACTTCTTATTCAGGTCCTTGAAGATACTCAGGGCAGGGTTGGGTAGGTAACGGAGGATAGGGAAGAAGTCAGTCAGATTTCCAGAAGCAGCCATCTCTCCGAACTCATTATTCAGGTTGACTATACTAAGTAGCTCTTGGTCATCATGATCATAGCGCTGACCAAAGCACATGGCACAGATGACGTTGGCCACTGATACCACTACATACCTGTAGGGGTCAAAGTGTCCAACCCCTGCCATCAGCTCCTGGAACTTGCTGATGAGGACCTCAGCCTCCTTGCTCACATGCTCCTCCAAGTAACAGGAAGATGAGGAAGCTGGGTCTGAGGTGATGGAAAAACTCTTCAGGGCATTCTGGGCTAGGCGCCGGCGGGCAGCCCACATAGGTCCAGAGTCTGGGTTGAAGGTCATGCTCTGGCCATCAGAGATCAGGGTGAAGCTGTAGAGGTCGGGCCTGCCCTTGAAATCATCGCCCTGCTGCACCAGAGCCCGCCGGACGGTGTCCAGGCCACTGAGCACCAGCACAGGTGTGCAGCCAATTCGGATCTCTAGCACGTCCCCATAGCGCTGGCTCAGCCGCGACAGGGCCAGGTGTGGGCTCTTCCTCAAGGTCAGCATGTGTCCAATCAGAGGCCAACCCCAGGGCCCTGGTGGACTCTTCAGGCCTTTGGGGACCCGAGGCTGCCAGGCCCTTAACACCCAGAATACCAGGCAGAAGATTGTGGAGACCAGGAGAAGTTCCGTGGCCGAGACGGAGATGGAGAGTCCAAACACAGAAAACATGATCAGCGTAGAGATGGCAAGGTGGCCACTGAAAGGTGGGCAAGAGGGAAAGATCAAGATATCATATGGGGGAATAGGAGGAATCAGTGTTCTAAAGTATCAGCATGCTGGACAAGAGGAAACATCCCAAACTGCTCACTGGGCATGAAGGGGAGGAGGAGGTGGGAGAAGCTGTTGAGCTGCCAAGAACTTCAGCATTCTTCATTCAGTCCTGGCCACAGCATATAAGGTAGGCTTCAGTAAGGCTCAGAGAAGGTAAGTAACTTGCCCAAGGTCACGTAACCAGGAAGTACTGGATTCATATGCCCAATCCAAATTGCTTAATTCTAGAAGACCCTCTCTTATCTGTACACCAGTCTAAAACAGTGCTTCCCAATGTCACTTAAAATCAATTTTAAATCTACTCACTTAGCATCATCCTAAACAATCATATCTGTGTGAAAGTACAGGTTTGATTTTTTTTACCTAACATGTTAAAATAAACACATAATTGACGTGTATCACCTAAATCCCCTTGAGTTCTACCCACCACACTTACAGAAATGCTGCTATCAGGAAAACTAGGCATCACCCACTCCTTTAGCCTCATTTCACATATGGAGAAATTGACCTTCAGGGGGGCACTGACTTGGCTAAAGTCACCCAGCAGTGATCAGACCTCTTAGCAAAAGTTCCTTGAGAGGTTTTCAGCTCCTGTCATAGCTGCCTCCCTTTGAAGAGTGGTCCCAGAACACTCAGTTCTCTCCTGCTCAACCCCAGGGTCTAGGGTATCCTGCCAGCCCCTGGAACAGGGTGGGAAGGGGACAGGGGATAAGAAGACCACTGCCTAAGCCACTTTGTTCTCAGCCCCAGCTCTCTGAGTTCAACCTACCCACAGTTAAAAATCAGCTGGAGACAAGCTAGATTGAGGTCCCAGTCACAGAAATCTAGGCCAGGGTTTTTGTTGCGCTCAATTCTCAATGAATGAATGAATAATCTGGGTTTCCCACCCCCATTCACCAGAGAGCAGAGAATAAATGAAAGGCTCCCAATGGCCAGGGCTGCAAGAAAACTCCAGACTGGCATGAGGTAAATTAGGAATGGATCTGAACCTAACAGAGGCTGAGACAATACTTTCTAGGCTTGCTCTAGAAAGGGTGTGCAAATTCACGGACTACTGTCTCCAAGGCATAAGGCTCTAACTGGGACATCTTCAGGGTGCCCTGGACTGGAGGACAGGAGACCCAGTTTTTCAGGTTCCATGGCATGGCCTTGGACTGGTCATTTTACCTTCCTGGGTTATATTACCTGGGAGAGGGAGTGGGACGTGATCTCTGATTCAGGGTGCCTAGCCAGATCTCAAAGAAGAGAAAACTCAGCTGTGATCTGGGGAAACTCACAGTCTGACTAGTGAGTTTTCCCTACAGTAGAGCCACCCAAGATGGGGAGGTTAGCTACTTGGTTCCTACCTCAAGTACTATAGCTGTCTGTCTAGGGAGGCTTCCTAAAGGAGCCGGATCCCAAAGCACACACACAAAGTCCTGACTCCCTAGGTGAACTGGGAACACTGCTAGGCCTTGGTATGCCATGGTGTCCCCTTGCACACATTGGGTGCCCCCTCCATTCATGCTGACCACCCTCATCACACAACCTTGAGGAGAGGCTGTATATGCGCCCAGCTTCCGTCAACTGTGTCCTTATTCTAAACAACCAAGTGATAGGGAAGCCCAAGGCATTCAGAGTCAGTGGGGGATAAAGCTGGAGCCTGGGTCCTGGAGTCCTGAAAGGGATCCATCTGCCTGTAGAGTTCTGGTACTAGCTGCAGGACATTGGACAAGTCCTGCCTGTCCCTTGGCCTCAGTTGCCCCTTTAGGGAGCTGGACTGCTTGGCCACTCCTAGCCTTCTTTTTGAGGTGCTAGACCAGTGAATACCTGGGAATGCCTGGAGGCATCAATATTTTCCTATCAATATTGGGAGGAAGGGGGCAAGCCAGAAGTCCCGGCACTCACCTGTGGCTGTGAGGAGGTGCTGAACTGAGCTGGGAAAAGGTGGTCTCTGGAGTCAGGACCCCAAAGAAGATCGGAGAAGGCTCCAAGGAACTGTCACCTTTAGGGTGAGGGTGAAGGCACAACCAACTTTATAGGCAGCTTGCGTGCGTGGCCACGCCCCTTGGCTCAGGGATGCGACTAAGGGAGGGGCGGCGTGAGGGAGGGGCGGCGTGAGGGGGGGC